GGGTTGGCAGATACCCCAGATGGATCTCTGTGTCTCTGATCGGCTGGGTTCATCTGCCTGTGCCAAGCACGGTGCTGGCTTTCTGGAGTGGCTCGGATCCAAATCCCTGCTTTCCAGGTACTCTGGCTGCCTTCCTCCTTCCCAGGCCAGCCAGGGTATGCTTTGGCCCTACTGAGCTCCCACATTAGTCCTGGACTGATGCCTTCTTGCTAGTGTCCCCAGCATGTCCCTTGGCTTGGGGGTGAGCTGAGAGGACTGTGTGTGCTGTCCAGGGTCACTTCCCAAATGGAGAGGGGGTGCTGGGATGCACAGCACACATGTGATATGAGGGGGGATGCTGGGGCACACACAGGGACATGCATGGCACTGTACAGCTATCCACTGTGCTACTCAGAGGGACCATCAACATCTGCTCCAATTCCAGCTGCGGGACTTGAATACCCATAGCCAAAGTGGGAAGGCAGGTACTGCCCTTTGCTGTACCCCGAATCATTTCACTCCCTGCTTTATTTGTCAGCCAATGGCCCCTGCCACACCAGCCCTGCTGGTGCTTGTTAGCAGCTGCTCAGGGGTCAGTGGCATCCAGGTTGCCACAGAGAGGAACATGGAAGTCCAGGGCTGGGGCCAGTGGCCCTGATGCCACCTCCCAGTCCACTGCAATGCTGGGGCAACAGGAGCAGAGAGACACAGAGGGAGGCACCCAGGACTTCTGCTGTTAATGTGTTGCTCCCACATGGCCTTGCACTGAGACAGCAGAGGACCTGGACACCCTGCCCGAGTGCTGCGTGGGTTGCCAGGATGAGTCACAGCAAAGCTGCTGTGGGAAAAAGATGATCAAAGTGCCTGGCACCACTCTGTGCCCCCCTCATCCCAGGGCCTCCTCTGAACCCCTTGTACCATGCAGGAACCCCGTGTTCCTCTGTGCTGCAGGGAGGGAAGTGGGAGAGAGCCTGCCTGGAACAGGAGGCAGTGTCTGTCAGCCCTGCACTGTCAGGGCCACCGAGCCAGCAATGTGGGGGTGGCAGGAGCCAGTAGTGGCAAGGTGTGCCTCTGGGAAGCCATGCACAGCTCCTGCATGGACTCCTGTGAGTAGCCCAGGCCATCCTTCTGGGAGAGGAGCACACCACCTCCATGCTGGACTGCCTGTGGGGTTGTGTCCTGTTGAGGCAGCTCATCCCATGGCTGACAGCATACTAGGGGACATGTTGGGAAGTTATCTCATTTCCCCACTGAAGTCCCATACAGCTCCCTCCAGACTTCCCTGTGGATCCAAGCAGCATGTAATTGGTTGCAGGAGGCGCTGGTGGGCATCTCTGTCCTTACCCCTGCTACCACATCTAGTGCTGGGCTGCATTTCCATCACTTGAACATCCTTCCAAGCCCAGTGGCAGTGCCAAGTGTGGTCAGACCCTGTGGCTATTTGGGGGGTGCAGTGGCTCTGTGCAGATGAGCGGGCGCTCAGGGTTCCTACCAGGGGACACAGGGAGGAGTGGGTTCTGAATCCCCGTGCATCTCATGGGGAAGGGATGTTTGACCTGAGATGTTGCTAGGCTGGTGCTTCTTCTCCAAAAGCTCAGGGTGTCCCAGCTCCACGGGACTGCAGAGTATGGAGCCCATCCCTGCAGGACCCTGTGGCTGCCATGGCTGGGTCCCGCTTGCCCACGCAGTGTGTATGGCTCTCCATTCACCTGGCACAGGCACATAACCGGGGAGGAAGAGGGTGCTGTGGGGCAGAGGTTGGAATCAGAGCTTGGGCAGGAGGGGAAGGGGGTCACAACTCAGAATACAAAATGATTTCTGGGTACAGAGATGAGTCCCTGCATCCTCCCTCTCTTGCATGTTCTGTGCAGGTTCCCAAGCGGCACCGCCGACTCTCGGCGCGGTGCAGCGGCGACACCCCGTGGCCACCTCTCTGTTGCAGGGGGCACACACACTTCTTACTTGGTGGCCCCTTGCACCACCCTCTCCCAGCCCCTTCACCCCCCAGTCCTCCCTGAAGTCTCCCCAGAGGGCTCTAGTGCCCCTATGCACTCTGGCTCCGGGTGGGGAGGGTTTCACTTCTGAGTGGTCCCATCTCATCATCCCAGTTCTGTGCCCCAAGATCTCCTCAGCTTTCCCATCTCCTCTCCTTGCTCACATCTGGGGAGGATGTTGCTAAATGGGAACACTTGTCCTTGGTCTGGATGGTCAGTTCTGCTCTGGCCTGGGAGGGGAAGGATAGCTGGGGCCTGCAGGGTGTAGCTGCCTCTGGGGGCTGTGGCTGCTGCTGTTGCTGTCACACACTGCCCAGAGAAACCTCTTTTCCTGCCACTGGTCTCTGTCAGTCCTGTGGCGGTGATGGGATGGGGCTCTGACATCTTGCCCCAGTGACAGCCAGGTGCCGTGGCTCATGGTGACACTGTTGTAGCCCAGTGGGTCCCCCCGGTCACCTCTGTCCCTCCTGTGTCAGCACAGCTCTGCACACATGTTCCTAAAGTTTGGCTGGCTTTAGTGCAGGGCACATTGTGGTCACTTCCCCTCTGGGACACAACAGACCTGATGGCACTTGGCCAAGCCTGGGGGAGCCCTGGGGACAGGAAGAGGTGTCCAGCCTCAGAGGAGGGTGCTACCCTGAACCCTGGGGTGCAAAGCCAAGCACCCATATTCCCCACCAGCAGAGGGTTTTTGGGGTGGCTGGCAGCCATGTGCAGTGGTCCTGCAGCCTGGCAGAGGGGTAAAATACCACCCTCCATCCCCTGGAGTTCCTGTGGGATGGCAAAGACACCCAGACCTGGGCAGGATGAGGTGCTCCAGTCCCCTTGCAGAGGGCAGGATCACCTGGGAAAACGGTAGATGATGCTCTGGCCGCTGCCTGCTGTGAAACACACACACGAGCCAGAGCTGCCCCCCAGGACTCCGCCCCTAACCCCAGACTGGATGATGCTGGACTGGAGCCCTGGGGCTGAGAGCCCCCAGTGGGGAGCACAGCACCCACCGTGTGGCACGTGGTGGTGGCGATGGACATGGGACAAAAGACCTGTGGGCTGCACGGACGCCGTCAGTACAGCAGGGCTTGGGAGGGTTGAGCTGGACAGCTGGTTCTTGCCTCAGCCTTAAATCCCACGTGAGCACCCTGATCCTTTGGTCTCAGGCCTCTGGGATCTCGGTGGGGAGATTTGCACCACTGTTTCGGGAAAGGTTGGCACCAGCACTCGTTTGGAGGCTCGCATTAGTATTCAGGGGGATTCAGGAAAAGGTTTGCACCAATGTGTAGTGAGGAGTATTTGGAGAGAGCTTAGTGCCAGCTTTCGGGTGTTTAGGAGGTTTGCACCACGTGCAGGGGAAGGCATCCCCCAGCACTTAGGGTGGGGTTTGCCCCAGAATCAGGGAGGGTGGTCTGCAGGCCACAGAGGCTTTCTGGGGACAGTGTCTCTGAGGACAGCAGCTCCTGAAGGAGCAGGTGACAGGACAGCTAAGAGGAGCCACAGCACCACCTTTGCCCACTCCTCCACCACGTCCTCCTGCTTCTAGCCCAGACCTCGATGGTACCTGTGTGGGACATGGCTGAGGCACACTCTGCTCCATGGAGGTTACTCACTGGGGACCTGCAGCTGTGACAGAGGATGTGAGCCAAGAAGATGGTGCCACAGCAGTGACAGCACAGCCCTGCAGGACACAAGCCACCCCGGCCACCTGTGGCCCTTGTTTTAGCCAGCTCCCAGGGGACACCAGCTGGCCGTGTGCCCTGGCAGGGATGCCAGGCTGCTTGCAGGGGGTGGCAGGTGGGCTGGAGCTGGGAAAGCCACCTGTACCTTGTTTCCCAAGGGAAGAACCGAGAGCAGAGCAGGGCTGGATTAGGGCCCAGGAGGTTCTGCTCTTCCAGTCTGGATCCTGTGGAGTTCTCAGGGTGCCGGTTTGGGGTGGTGGCAGTGGGTGTCTCACTCCCAGCATCCCCAAGCCTGTGCTCTGCCCCAGCTTTCTCTTCTTCTCCAGCAGACGGAGCAATAACACAGTGATCAACACCATCTCACCATGTGAGGGCTTCCTGCGGCTTCCCTTCACGGGCAGAGCACACGCCCATAACATCCCACCATCAGGCACAAAAAACGCTGTGAGCTCCCCCTTCCTCCAGATATCCATTATCTTCCTCAAGGTGATGGGTGCCTCTCCCAGGTGCTTTTACAGCTGCTTTGGCTCCCAGAGCCAGAAATGCTTGCTGGATTTTCTCTGGGGATGAGCTACACACCGCTCCTGTCGTCTGGATGCCATGACAGCCCACTGTGGCCTTGGGAGTGGGCTGAATGTCCAAGACCAGCTTTTAGCACCAAGCTCTGTGTCCCTGCAGACAGCACAGATGCTGCCAGGGCAGTATCCCCCTCCTAATTCTCTCCTAAATTCCCTTCTCAAACCCCATTCACCTCCCAGCTGCAATGCAGGCACTGTGTAAGGAAAGCCCTCCCCCCCAGGCAGGTGAACCCCCTTTGCTGATTCCCACAGGCCATGTGCCACCATCAAAAGCTGCAGCTTCCTGTGGGAGCTCCGTGGATGTGACTAGGACTGGAGCACTCCAACCATGGGGATCACTCTCCTCCTGGGCACACCAGGTGTCTTCGTGGAGTTATTTCGGGTTTCCCAGCACTGCTGCAGACAGCCTGTTCCCAGCATCCAGCTGTCCCCAGTGCTCTGTTCACAGCCTCCAGTGCCTCTGGAGGCAGGGAGCCCCCTCATTCCAGTGGATGAGTGTCCCTTCCACTGCAGGGGCTGGGCTTGTTGTAGGGTCAGCCGAGCACTCTCCCTGCTTTCCTGGGCAGACATGGGCACTCCGAGTTTGCAGGTTCCTGGGTGCACCCACTGGCCTCCCCCCCATTGCTGCTGTGGGACACTCTGGGGATAGGAGGCCAAGCCTGCCTGGTGGGACAGTGACCCGAGGCTGGGATAGGATCTTAAACACATAGGATCTGTGGATGCCCAGAAATGCCTGAGGAGAAGCCAGAAGCCCTGTAAGCACACCCTCCGGAGGCTGATTGGACACAGCTGTTTAATGGATGTATCTCAGTACAGATAGGGAGTTGCAACCCACGCACCCACGGCCACCTCCTCACCATGGCTCTGGCCACATCTCGGACCTGGCATCCGAAATATCCCCATTGACGCTCTGGCCACATCTCGGACCTGGCATCCAAAATATCCCCATTGGCCTGGCATGCCAGGGCGGTAGAGGAAGATGTGGTGGCACTGGTGCACCTCCTGGTCTTGCAGTGGGAGAGACCCTGGAAAGGGGAACTGTGCCCTGGCTGGGGAAACGGGGCTGAGTGGGACGGTGCCCCCTTTGCATTGGGGATACAGGTGAGGGAGTGACCAGGTTGCTGCAGGTGCACGCCTGGTCCGTGTACACCCCAGGGACCCCCGGCTGAGCCAGGGCACACCAGGCAGGGAGAGGCTGAGGGCACTGCAGGGAAGGGATGAGAGGGGCAGGGATCAGCTGCCGGGGCTGCCATGAGACCGGGGCGTCCCGGCCCCTGGCGTGTTTGGGGCAAGGTTTCCGGGGTTCCTCCTCCTTCACTTGCGGGCTGAGCACATCTATCCACCACAGTGTTGCCAAGCACCAACCCTGCCCAGCCAGTGCCTCACCCCTGCAGCTGACTTCTGGGGGGCTCTGTGCTCTGCCTCCCCCTCCTCACCACAAGCAGTAATGCCCCTAGTGAGGTGGGGTTGCCCACTCACCATGCTGGGGAGAGAACAGGACTGAACAGGGCTGGGGACTGAAATGCTGGGTAGATGGAGAGCATCCCTTGGAACCAGGGGTACAGGAGGGGATGAAGGATGCAAGGGAGTGCTGAGGGCAAGGTCGGATGCACAGGAGGGCTCCCCTACATCTCACCTTGCCCTCCCATCCCTCCGAAGCTTTCTATTCCCAGTGTTCCTTCCCACACCACTGCTGCCGGCATTAAATAGTTGGTCCCCAGGAGGGCAGGGCCAGGGAACACTCCCAAAAACAACCACCAGCATGCAAGGATGGACCTACTGGGCTCCAGCCCTTGCTGGAGCAGTGTAGGGATGTGAAAGACCCCGACAGGGTCAGCCACATCCTCCCCTCGAGAATCCATGATGCCAATGAGCTGAGACACTGCTTGCTGCAAACCTGGCAGCACACAGAGGCTCAGCTGTGGCTTCCCCGTGGCACTGTGGGAGGCTGGGGGGCACGCGGATGCTGGGCACCGGTTCTGCCGTGACCCCACAATTACCCAGAGCAGACCCTGCTCTGCCTGTGGGTTGCAGGGGCTCCACGCGAGGCAGGGAGTGCTGTGGGCACGTGGATCACGGGGGCTGATGCTCCCCTGGCCCCAGCCAGACATGCCCTGCCCCTCCCACCTCCCTCCCCCAATCAGAGCGGCCCCCACCCTCCCAGCCAATCACGGCCCGGCCACCTGTCCTCTTTGCAGCCAATCCAAGAGGGAGGCGGGGCAGAGCGCAGCGTGGCCGCCTCCCCGCCAGCCAATCAGCGCCCAGCTCCGCCCCCAGGGCCGGGCGGGGCAGGTGTGCATGGCGGGAGCGGCGTCGCGCCCTCGACGCGCCGCGGGGATTAGGCCGGGGGCTGCAGGTGCAGGGCGGCGCTGTTGGGGCGCGCGGCCAGGATGTAGGCGACGTTCTCCCGCAGGAAGCCGGGCCAGTCGACGGTCCTGTGGGCAGATGTGGGCTCACCGGCCACCCCAGCCGGCACTGCTGCTCCCCTGGCGCCTCCGCCCAAAATGAGGGTGTCCCCCACCCCTGCACACCGCGCTGCCTCACCTGGGCTCCTCCTGCTTCGTGGCTGGCAGGATCTTCTCTGGGCTCTTGCTGTTCCTGCTGCTGGCGGGGCTGCCCTCTGATATGGGCCCCACGTGGCTGATGCTGTGGGAGGGAGGAGGGTGCCCTTCATCCCCATTCCTGCCACCCCAAATGGTGGTGGCGAGGGGAGAAGGGTGTACAAGTCTGAGGGGCCGCAGAGGGAAGGTGATGAGAAGTGGGGGCACCCAGCTTGTGTGCCGAGCCCCTTCGGTGGGTGCTGGGGCTATGGTAGGAGTGCCGGCTTGGATGTCACCCCTGCACCAAGGTGGGCATTCCCATACCTGACGTTGCAGGACAGCATCTCCTTTTGGTGCTTGCGGAACCAGGTGTGCCGGGCCTGGTGGCACTCGCCCTCCCCGATGAAACCGTCGTTGTCCTGGTCCAGGGCCAGAAAGGCTGCCCGTGCCCGCTCCCGCTCCTTGGGGGTCAGCAGCCGCAGCAGGGCATTCTAGGGGGGCACAGAAGGGAAGGGAGAGAGCTCACCCGGCTCCTACGGGAATCTCCCGGCTCCTATGCCCAAAGCTGTGGGGGTCTCCGGCCCTGGGTGCCATGGCCTTGGGTGGTGGCCATGGGACTCAGCCCCCGCTGCCACAGCCATGGGTGCCAGCCTTAGGAGCCAGCTCGGGGTGCTGTGACCGTGGGAGCTTGTCTTGTGTGCTGGGACCATGGGTGCCAGCCATGGGAGCAAGGCCTGGATGCCACAATCGTACCTGCGGCCGTAGTTTCTGCAGCAGCTGGATGGACTCATGGGAGAGGAAGTCCTGCCACTCGATGTGCCCCTTCTTGTCAGGGTCCAGGGCATTGAACTGCAGGGCTGCCTGCTCCTCCTGTGCCTCAGCCATGGGCTTCTCGAACTGCTGCTTGTGCACGAGGTGTTTGTAGTGCAGGAAGTCATCCAGGGTCAGGCAGGTCTCTGTAGAGAGGAGAGATTTGCTGTGCAGTGCCTGGGAAGAATGGGGGACGCCCCACCCCACCTGCCTCCCCCAGCCTCCTGGGACCTGCCATGGAGAGGCTACGCACCTGGAATGATCTTGCAGTTCTTCAAGGTCTCCATCAGGCTGTACATCTCTTCCTCTGTCAGCAGCAGATTGAGGTTGTCCTGAGGCAGGGGGCAGAGAGGAGCCGTGGGGTAAAGGCATGGGACTGGGGGAGCATCCCGCTGTACGGCAGCAACGGGATCCCTTGACAGCATGTGGGTGTGGGCACCCACACCCTGAGAGGGATGGTGTGCAGAACACCCTGGGGGTTCTGCAGTGGGATGGCTCCAAGCCCCTGGGCCATTCCAGCTCTGCCACAGCAGCCCATCCCATGGCCAAGGTGGGCAGCAGGAGGTGGGGGGCAGCAGGTCCCCCACTGCTGTGGACCAGGCTGTGAGGTGGGACCCTGCTTGTGCCTGCGTGGGGCAGGGAGCACCCACCACCCAGCAGCAGCCCGGTGTCGCCTGCTCCAGGCACTCACGCAGTAGTAGCAGCTCCAGCCCGTCTCGGTGTGCGCCGTCTCTGTCACCTCCACGGCGCTGTCCTTCTGCAGGTACCCCATGCGGCGCAGGCAGCCGTCGTGGTACACCCGGGGGCAGATGCGGCATGGGAAGAGGCTCTCGGCTGTCCACACCTCGCAGATCTCACACATCTCGTCATTCACGATCTGGGGAGGGGTGGGCAGATGCTCAGCAGAGCAGTGTGGGCAGGGGCCTGGCTTCTCCAGGGGCGTGGTGTTTTGCAGTTGTTTTGCGGGTGGGGGTGGATGTTGGGGGGTGGAGTGGACGGGGGGAGGGTAATGCGTGGGGCTGGTGTAGGGGACAGGTGGGTGGTGAGGTCGTAAGGGACATGGTTGGTTGAGGGTAGGTGGGTTTGTTGGGATGAATGGTGGGTGGATGGGTCTGGCTCTAGGGTTGGTGGGGCTGTGAGGTGGTAGGTGCTCTGCGATGCAGCATGGGAGGTGTGGGTGGCTGGACTAGGGTTGTAGGTTGGCTGGTTTTTAGTGTTGTAAGTATGGATGGAAACTCTGCAAGGTTTTTCAACACATTTTCATTTCCATTTCCAAGAAATATTGATTGTACCCTGCATGATTTAGCCTCAGAGGGTGGTTGGGCACTGGAACAAGCTGCCCAGGGAAGTGGTCACAGCACCAAGCGTGACAGAGTTCAAGATGTGTTTGGACAATGCTGTTAGGCACATGGCAAGTTTCTTGGGGTGTCCTGTGCAGGGGGCAGGAGTTGAACTTGATGATCCTTGTGGGTTTCTTCCAAATCAGAATGTTCTATGATTCTATGGAAGGCTGTAGGTGGGCTAGGGGTGTAGGCTTGTTGTGTTGGTGGGTGGATGGATGGTTAAGGCTGTGGTTGTGGATGGGTGGGCTGTAGGACTGCATGCATGGGTGGAAAAGCTGTTGGGTTGTGGATGGGCTGGGCTGTAGGGGCTGCAGGTGTGAATGGATGGTTTGAGTTGCAGGCTGGCTGGCTGTAGGCTGACAAACACATAGATCAAATTGTCCTTTTCTTTACCCTGAAGCTGGAGCTGCCTGTGCCCAGCAGTGATCTCTTCTTTCCAAGACATACCAGGCTGCTGCGAGGGCACATCTGAACAGTTGCACCCTCCTCCCCACGTGGCATCTCCAGCTGCCTAGACTGGCCCTTAGCACCCTGCCCCACTGAGCCACCTCCATAGGGCTTTGCCATACCCAGGGAGGCTGTCACTGCCTGGCAGGTACTCAGGTGCTTGTACAGCCCTGGGCTCGCCCCAGCCCCTGTCCCCATGGCTCCATCTGCTCACCTGCTCCCTCTGTTCCAGGCTGATGTCCGGGGGCTCATCATCGTGCAGCTCCCGCTTGGGCCGGATGAAGGCGGGTGGTGTGAACCTGTTGGCCCGGTCAAACTCCTCTGGCTCCACACCCCGGCCATCCCGCAGCCGTTCCCAGGCTGCCTTGGCACTGGCACTGGCACTGCTCTCCTCTGGCTGGGAAGGTCCTGCCGATGCCTCCTCCTCTCCCTCCTGCACCTCCTGCTCCAGTGTCCCCCGGCGTGAGGTCCCCGCCTCTCCCCGGCGCCGCGTCGATGGCTGCTCCCGCAGCCCGTCCTTGAAGGCTGACACTGCCAAGCTCACCTTCTGCACCCTCTCCACCGTCTGCCGCCTGGACATTAGCACCCCCATGGCTCTGCAGGGGAAGGGAGGTGCTCAGTGCTAGCACCTGGGGGCACAGTGCTGCTCCCCGGACTTGCACTGTGTCCCTGACCCCAAAGAGTTGTCCTGGTGGCTTTCTCCCAGATGTGCAAGGTGCAGCTCAGGGCAGGGAGAAATGGTAAGCTGGCACTGAGGTTATCCATGGTGGTCGCGGGGAGATACACCCCTGGCCATAGAGGGTCTGAGTGTTGGTGCAGGACTGGGACAAAAAGCAGGGAGCTGTTTTGGGGATGCCTCCCCCATGTTTGCTCTATAGACTCCAGTTTAACAGGAACAATCCAGGCCTTTCCCACACCAGACCAGTAAATCCCAAAGGGACTGGGACCAGCTGTAATCCCGCCCCTTGCATGCATCTCCTTTCTGCCTTGGAGAAAGCCTCTGTGGCCAGTCAAGGGTGAAAGCTGTCCTCCCTGCAACTCTGCCCAGGACTGGGACATAGCTGGCTCCTCACCTTCCCCAAATTCTTCTTCACACCCCTGTCTCTCTTGCGCTCACATGCTCGTGCGTCTGTGCGTGTGTGCTGCTGCTGTGACCACTGGGAATCCTGCATGGAGCTGTGTGGGAGAGGTTGGACCAGCCACAGGAGGGCTGTGAGAGTGCAGGAAAGAAGGGAAGCAGTGCATGGGACTGGGGCACATGAGTTTCAGTACCAAGGGAAGATCATCTTGGGGTAAAATGGGGAGGTCAACAGCAGCAGCAATAGCAAGTCAGTCTCCGTCTCACTGGGAGTGGGCTGAAGCTGGGAAGAAGCAGGATTTGATCTCCAACGTCGTGTGGCACAGTATCACCCCAAATGGGTCCCGCTACTGCCCCGTGCCCTGCTAGGATCGTGTTATGGAAGATACTGCCCAGGGCAGCGGTGGAATCACTGTCACTGATACTGTTCAAAAAACCGCGTAGACATGGCACTTAAGGACGCAGTTTAGTGGTGGCCTTGGCAGCGCTGGGTTAACAGTTGGACTCGAGGATCTCAGAGGTCTTTCCCAGCCTTAATTATTCCGTGATTCTACGCTGCAGGAAAGAGGCACTCCCAGCAGGAGCCCAGGGACTAGGAGGCAGAGCAGGGAGATTGGAGCAGCAATCCCCCGCCTCGCCAGCCTCAGAAGGAAAGTCCCCAGGTAGCGGGATAATTAGCGGCACGAGCGCACACGCCGGGATCTCGGGGCTGCGGGAGGACCCGGCGCCGCGGGCGCTGCTGTGCCAGGGAGCCTGGGCAGGGTAATTACAGGTGCCCCACGCTGGCAGGGCCGAGCGGAGCCGAGCCGAGCGCGCTGGCAGGCAGCGAACACCGCTGCGTGCACACGCATGTGATTTCCCAGCCTCTCCCCACCACCGCGGGACCATCTGCCTGCGGATTCCCACGCACTGAGCCGGGTGTGCAACACGTGTGGGCCCCGTCCTGCGCGTGGGGGTCCCGGCAGAGCGCCCACACGGGGGTATTTGCGCCCGCTGGATGATGCACTGCCTGGCTCAGAGCTGGTGCCCGGCGTTCTTCAGCTTCCGAGGCTTTGCAAAGGTGGGAGCAGGGCAGAGCTGGAAGCTCGTGTCCGAGCCACAGCGACAGCGTCTCTGTGGCTGTGCCAGTGGGAAGGAAAAACACCTGGATGTCTCTTCGTGCCCACCGTGCCACCACCCCCTGCCCGGGAGGCTCAGGATCCTGTTTGCCGCGGGCAGGATCAGCTCTGCTGCTGGACACCATCAGCTCTGCCTGAGAACTGAAGAGTCGGGGACATCACTGCAAGACCCCCCCGAGGTCTACCCTTGCAGGTCTCTGCATCACCACATGCTGTCCAGATCCAGGCCTCCTCGTGGCCAAGGCTTGGGGCAGAAGCAGGGAGGAGAGGATGCAGAGAGGCTGGGCTCATGGACGAGAGAGAAAAGAGGGGTGTGGGCCCTATCCCACCAGTACCCCCAACAGCCACACCAGTGCTCCTGATCCCCACCGTGCTGTTGGGCTCTGGGTGCCCCAGCCGCAGCCCCCCTGCAGTGTAGTGGGGCGACCAGGGCAGTGGGAAGGTGGCTGGTGTGTGAACCAGCTGTAATCCCCCTCACATGAGGTTTCCCTGTGTGTTCATGTCATAGTCACCCACCAGCACTGTGCTGCTGCTTGAAGCTCCCAGCCACCTCCCTGTTTCCTGCCCTCTCCTAAGGCCATCCTGAGTGCCTCCTGCCATTTACTGCTGTCTGCCTGGATTCTGGACGGTGTGACTCGTGTCATGACTTGTGTCTGTTCTCAGCCCCGCTGGCCTCTCTGTTGCTGCTAGTGCTGCACAGCTGAACCCTGCCTGCACATCCAGGCTTGAATGGCTTCACTCTGAACTCAGTCTCCAGACACCACTGTCTTTCCACAGACCCCACTGCTCCCCAGATACCCCAAACTTGCTCTGTACTCTCCAGGGCCCCCTTTGCCCTCTGCCCTGCCTGACCCACTGGCTTTCTGAGGTGAGACATTGATCCCACACAGAATCACCCCCTCTCCTGGAGACCTCTGGGAGCTGGGAGAACCAGGGGTTCTCTTGCCTTATAGCAGCCCAGACACTTGAGCAGGCCCTGTATCTGCATGTGTTCCTGGGGGAAGGTGTCCCCATTGCTATTTGTGTCCATCCCCTGAGGCACAAAGTGCCACCACCTGTCTCACCATGACCTGAGGTGCGGGGGCCTCGACCTTGCTGCATGGCTGCACCGCGGGACTATTTTTAGGTCGCCCCCACAGAGGAGCTAAATCTGGGCACAGGCGGGAGCTGCCTGCAAACACCCGGCTCCACTGAGCCCTGCCAGCGCCAAGGGCTGTCACAGCAGGTGGTGGGCACCTTCCTACACCTTTGCCTTCCCTTCCCTTCCTTTCCCTTGCCCCAAGTCCACTGCGCCCCTGCCCTGATCCTTGGGCGACACCCATTCCCCACACTCTTCTGGTTTGGATTTTCTCCTTTGCTGCTTCATCCCTGCAGCAAAACACTAAGCCAGAATGCACTTCATCTTCTTAGCACCCATGGATGTGTATTTTCCAGCCCCATGCGCCTCTCTGTGTGGGGAAACTGAGGCATGGAGGCAAGGCTGGTGCAGCTGGAATGAGGGTAAGCCTGTTTTAAGAGGGGATGAGGGCACTGGTGGGACAGAGCTGGTGGCCAGCACGGATGCACCCCAAGAGAAGGAAGCAGGGCAGACCATCCCGATGCAAACAGATCCAATGGCCCCTGCGTGGCTGCAAAACCTCCCTCCTCCCATGGCAGAGCACACGTGGCTTGTGCTGGGGTTACGGGGTGCCAAGTTTGTGGTGCAGGGCGATGAGTGACACACAGGTGGGTGTAACATGGCACTGCGGGGGTGTTGTGGTGGCTGGGAACACAGGCTGGATGCGGTGGGGAGCAGCACAGGGTGGATGTGTTTGTTAGGGCTGGATGTGTTACGGGGTGGATGATGTGTCGGGGTGGATGTGTTTTGGGGTGGATGTGCTACGGTGCGGCTGGCAGCGCGGGGCGGGTGTTACGGCCCACGGTGGGTGTTGCAGCGACTGTGGGCATGGGGTGGGTGGTGGCTTTGGGTGCAGGGATGTTGCAGAAGCTGTGGGTGTGGAGTGGTGTCTGTGGCAGCTGGGGGTGCGGGATGGGTGTTTTTCAGGGGGCTGCGGGTGCAGGGTGGGCTGTTATGGTGCCCAGTGGTGGCATGGGCAGATGGGGGTGTGGAGCCACAAGGTCCGTGGCACTGACTGCCACCTGCCCCATGGTGTGTCCTCGCTGCAAAGCCCCACCAGCAAAAAAATGGTCAGTGGGTGCTTGGGCTGGTGCACACATGAGCAGGGTCCCTGGCACCCACCTTCACGGGGATGCATCACGGGTGTGCCAGAAGCAGACCCCCCTGGATTGCAGCTCCCCAGTCGTGGGGAAGGATGTGCCTGGTCCCCACAGGCTCCCTGCAGTCCAGGCCTCCCCCTTGCCTTGAGAGGCTCCTGATATTTTTACCCCACAGCACCTTTCTGGGAGCAGCATTAGGGACTCTGGGGACAGAGGGGTGGGGTACCAATAGGGAGGACACCCTGGGACATTGGAACCCACGGCTGCTAGGTCTGAAGGGCACGGAGCAGGGCTGAGAGGAGCTGCCGTGTCTCTGGCATGGCTCTGGTACAGCCCTGCACACCCTGCCAGCCCCTGCCTGCCTGGGGCAAGGGGGTCCAGCAGTGAAGGCAGAAGGCTCTGCTTGGGGACCATTGCATCCCACCTCCTTGAGCTGGTTGGGGATGGCCACAGGGGTCTGGCAGTACCCCCTTGTCCCCTCTCCTGGGCAGACAGCACATGCTGTGACTCTGGCACTGCTGGGGCTGCTGCTGTGAGGTGATCCGGTTGCCATGGGGCAGGGGGGTCCGTGGCTGATGGTACCCTCCCTACCCTCTGCAGGACTGTGGGAGTCCAGTGGGGATGCCTAGGGGGGTGGCCAGAACCCCAGATGTGCTGTGTCCCAGTCCTGGGGGCCCTGAGCCGATGGCTGCTCTCCCTGCTGGATCAAGTTGCCCGTCCTGCCGCGCCATGGCAGATTTTATAGGTGTGTCGCACGCTTCCATCTCCCAAAGGGAGATGAAAATGCCGTGACAGCAGAGTCCCTTCCTCTGCAGCAGATACAGCTCCTGCCCGGTTCTCCACTTCTCCTCCTCATCTGCCTCCCCAGCCCGTCTCCCCAGTACCCACATGAGGACCCCAATGCCTGAGGGCAGGACCCTCCCACCCCATTCTCATCCCTCATCCCAGGCATCCCATCCCAGGAGCTCTGGACATCCTCCCAGGCACCAGGACCTGGGGGGTGGGGGGGAAGTGGGAGAACCCCAACAACGTGTGGACAGCCCATGCCATGCACCCAGCAAAGCACCAACGGTGGCAAAAAAAAAAAAAAAAAGCACTTACCAGGGTGAGGGTCTGTCTGGGGAACTCGAGCCCTAGACAGAGGTCCACACGGTGTCCATCGCCGCTGCCTCTGGCTGCAGCCCCCTCTCCACCCGTGGGTGCTCACCACATCCCCGTGTGCAAATCCCTGTCGGGGGATGGAGCGGTGAGGGTGGTACCCGAGGAGCCAAAGCCCTGCACTTGCTGCCGGAGGATGCAGGAGACAGCGAGATGCTGGGAGCGGATGCCTGTGTCTAGCGCGCACACACACACGCACACACACACACGCACACACACTCAGAGGAAGCAGGGAGCTTGTGACTGGGGCTGAGCAGATGCAGCCTGGTTTGCTGTCCCTGTACCAATTGCTGCCTGAGCTGTGTTAAACAGCTCTCTGAGACACGAAGCTTTTTTTTTTTTAACCGGGCTGACGTGTGCTGGGAGATACCAATAAAAGCTTTCCCTGCATCTCCTCTGGCCCCCGGGGCCGAACCGCCTTTCTTAGAAAAAATCTCAAGGACTATGGAGATGTGGCTGCATCCGCGGAGGAGTGAATGTCTCACCTGCCCACCCACGGGATCTTCCCCAGACCAGTGCCCCAGGCACAGGCTACCTGCACCTGCTTTAACTCAATGCCTGCTGGTCAGTGTTGCAGGCAGGCTGTCCTTCCTACACCGTGGTGCAGTGGGGGCACGGTGACTACCAGCTACTTGCAGCCCTGTGTGCCCAGTGCAATGCAGCACCAGAGGTTTAGCTCCCCTAGTCTCCAGGACTGAATATATCACCTGGGTGCAGAGCACAGGACTGCAGAGGGGCTGGGGGCTCATGGAAGGTGTGAGTGAGGTGTTGGGGCAAGGGTGAGGATGCTGGTGGGGAGAGGAGGGCACAGCCCTAATTCAACACTCCTGAAGGTTGGATGTCTGGTCCATCTGCATTCCCAACTGCCCCACATCAGCCTGATAGGGATGGTGACTCAGCCCCCTTCGTGAGAGGGGGTACTACTGGGTAAGAGGGCTGTGCTTTTCCTTTCAGGAACTGGCAGCTCTGCCTGGGGACGATTTAGGGTGAAACAGACTCTGAGCCCTCCTAGGAGCAGCTTCCATACAGGTTTAGGATTAGTGCTGAAAGTGAAAGCAGAGGGGCCAGGGTAGTGGGGATGCTGCAGGGCTGCCCTACTCTTTGACCAGGCTGGATACAGCAGGTCCTTTCCTGATTAGGGGAGAGGGAAGCTCTGCTCAGCCCCACTGCACGGTTCCTGTTCCCAGGATGCTGCTGGGGGGAATCCCACATCCCAGCCTGACATCCTGGCCATGCCTGTTCCCGTGCCCTCCACTGGACAGGTCCTATCTGTCTCCATGTAGCTCCGCCAGCCCCACAGAGCATTAGACATGTGGAGAGCAGCATGCAGCAGCAGAGAGGCAGGGATGTCACCCTCTCCATGCAGAGAGCACAGAGAGCATGGAGTGAGAGCATGAGATGAAGGATGAAGCTTGATGACTGAAGCTTCCTGACTTCTGAAAGATGAGCAGCGCCATTCCTGACAGTCTTCTACACCTCTGAAAAAACTGTGGTGAACACAGCATCTGACACTCCTGCAGTGTCCTGCCTCCCCAGGAGCAAGTGACTGAGACAGGGCAGTCCCAAGGGTGCTTCCAGCACCCTATTTGGGGCACATACACTCCAACTTGTGCCACACACTGGTGCCAGGCTGGTACCTGACCCCTGACTGCTGCTCATCACCTGTGTCAGCCCTCTGTAGACCTATGACCCCACAATACTCAAACCTTCATCACAGATCCTTCCCAGTCCCTCATGTCTGAAATGGGAGTGAGCTGAGACCGTCTGCAGCTCATGTCACCTGCAAGCAGATCTAGAGGTCGGAAAAGGCAGCATCTGGGTGCTGTGCTGCGATCTGAGCCAGTCTGTGGCTCCCTTCCCCATGGCTGGGGATGCACAAAGCTAGGCTGCAGACAGGATTTATCTGCTTTCTGCTTGTGGCTGTCAGGTCCTGTCTTGCTTCACTCCATCAGCCTTAACAGAGCCTCTGGTTGCCCTGCCCTGGCCCAGGATGCCTCTTTGTGCTTCATCCTTCCCCAGGGATGCCTCCTTTTAGGGTGAATCACACTTTGCATTATTTAGCCCGAGGAGCATGGTGGAAAGGTGTTGGGGTGGCTGTGGGGTGGAGAAAGTGGAGGCCAGCTGTGAGCCTAGCAGGAAACACCTCCACAGATGAACCTTGGCCCCAGAGGACTGGGGAGGATTGTGCTGGCAGGCTGTGAAAGCTTTTAGTGCCTCTGCGGGGAGAGCCCTGCCCTGGCAGTCCTGTGTCAGAAAGCAGCGATGCCTGGAAAAGCAAAGGCGAACTGGAGCCCCAGCCCTGCTCCCGCTCTGGCTGCCAAGGGCCTTGGGGATCCCGCTGCAGGCAGGTGCTGTGTCCCACCAAACGAGAGCTACAGCCCGGATCCACTTCTGCAGGGAGCATTCACCAGCCGCCACCCCGTGCTAGATGCAGGGTGCTCTCGCACCCCTCGGGGGAGAAGGAAGGCACGGTCCCTCGTCCTCTTTGAAAAGCCACGGTGTGCCTGGCTGCTCCCTGGAGCGGCCGCAACGGCAACAGGCTGGGGAAGCTCCTGCCGGAGCCGGCAGCGCCGGTCTGCTGGAGGAGGGCTGCAGGGGCGGAGGTGAGAGCTGAGCTGCAGCGGGAATGAGCGTTTTCGTCAGCTCCTCTCCCCGCTCCCAAATCTCGCATGACGCCCGCGTGTAGGTCACTGGCTGCTGCGGCGACGCGGCGTGTGGGCTCACCATCTGCGGCTGCTTCTGGAGCCCGCCCGGGAACGCCGCCGTGTGCTGCCCTGGCTCATCCCGGATCCTGCCCGCCCCCCGGCCCTGAGCCTGCCGGCACCCTGCGGGGACGCAGGGCGAAGGGTTTGCTTTCTGGTGGGAGGCGGGGAGGGGGCCCTGAACTTTTGGCTCCTGCCAAGAAGCAGGAGCAGCAGCATCGGCGCGCCTGCGCGAGCCAGTGTTCCTGCCAGTCAGCAGGGGGTGATGGAAAAGAGAACTTGTCAAAATAGCGAGATATCTTTTTTCAGGAGATTACAAGTTTGGCTGATGGAGATAATAGTGTTGATGCACTGCAGGGAGGGTTCGGAGAGGCATCGGCTCACCTCACGGCAGCTGTTTCAGGAGGGAAGGATGATACCAAAATCAGCATGAAATGGGATAAAAACTGGCTGCCTGATGGGCTGTTGTGTCAGACTGCAGGCAGGGAATAGCAGAGCATTGCCCATCATCTGGAATAAATGGTGCAGGAGCAGGCCTGTGAGTGAGGGAGACTATGCCTTGTGACTTCCAGCTGTCTCACCCCAAGTCCCCACCGGTGTGGGTTCCATGCAGGGGAAGGGGCTCAGGATCTCAGGACCTGCAGACATGATCACACTTTCCACCAGCACCCAAGTGGGACACCTCCTTATGCTGGCTGCAGACAAGGCCACCTGCTGAGGGCTGTCCTTCATGTTCACTGGTAGCTGTGCGTCCCTGCCCCTGGATATTCACACGGGCTCATCACTGGCAGTCCATCACACCCCTGGTTATCAGTCAGGTGCCGTGCATGATGCCGATGGCTGTCCATCACGTTCCCACATCAAGGCCAGATCACTGACACTGCCTTTCACTCCCCACATTGATGCAGCTGTCCTCTGGCGATCCCACACCTCAACAGCTCAGCTGTCGATCCCCACAGCCTCCAGTTCCCTCCAGCTCAAACCTGATGGTGCAGTGGGGCTATGGTATCCTGGGCTGCTCTGGCACATTCCCTCTCCCACTCCTGTCCCCACCAGTGTTCCCTCCCAGGTGTGTGTGTGAGGCTGCAGTGCCTGTGGCTCCTTTGTTCATCTTGCCATGGCCTTTGGGACGGTGACGGGGACAGGGATGGGGATGGCAGGTCCTGGTTTTCCCCCTGCCCTGAGTAGCCAGAATGCTCTGAGCAGGAGCTGCTGCCAGATGGTGCCCAACATGGATGCAGCCCCTCCTTTGGCCCCCAGGAGCAGCCGCACAGTAGCAAACCCAAAGTAGGTTAAGACGCTGTGGATGCTGGCTGTGTGCCTCACGGCCGTGCCACTGTGCTTTTGTGCGCGGAGTTTTTCCCTCCCATCCCAGGGCTTTTGTGCTCTGAGTTTTTCCCTCACATCTCAGGGATGGAGTGGAGAGCTCTTGCCGGATATAATTACTGAGCAACCCCTTGTGCACTGTTAGGGTGTGAGGGCTGGTTTTGTCCCCTCACTAACACAGCTTTTGTGGTACCCAGAAAATACTCCAATACAAGAGCCTGGAGTAGAATTTGTGTAACAAATCTATCTTCAGCCCTGCAGCTCTGCAGGACTGGGAAGTTTGCAATAGAGGTCTGTCTGGATTGACATGGTAACTGTAATTCCAGCTGCAGCATGTCCAGGCACCTCTCTGTGTGGATAGGGGGCACCTCTCCTTTGCTCAGCTGCAAATTTGGTCTGAGGTCCCACTCCAGCGTGATCCAAGATCCTGGAGCATGAGCACATTGTGTTTCCCAGGGTGGTTTTAGCTCTATCCAGGGCCCTGGCCTGGTCCAGAACTGAGTGCTGCTTCCTCCTAATCCTTTTCTGTGTCTGATGCATCCCTGCCTCACTGCCTCATCCCCATATCTGCTGGACTGAGCCATAGCAGCACAGATCTGCTGGACATGCATCCCTGAGAGGTCAGTGCTTCTCCAGGGCTGGAAGGAGGAGATCCAGCCTACATCCAGGCCACCCATCCTCTCACTTGTCCATTTCCAGAGCTGCATG